GACCCTTATCTCCAGGAGAGACATTTCTCAGAACAGAGACTTGGCATAGCTAGAAATGCTAGTACAAATGATAGAGTATTCTAGACCACCTTCCTCCCAAACCTGACCATTAAATTAAAGTTCCTAGTCAGGGCTAACCCTGATAATGAAAAAGTGTATAAGCAATAAAGACAACAAGAAGAAAAATTATAAAGCAGATCAAATTTCCCTTTTGCGAACCCTTTTCTCCCCTCTAGAAACCACCAGTTTATGTCCAGATTCTCCCTTTCTTCCCTACCAATCTTCAGAAAAGGACCTGCTTTTAAATTAATTCACAATAAAGTGTAATTTGCAGATAAGTTTCAATAGGTTGTCATTCTCACGGGTGTGTCTTTCTCAATATGGGTCCAAGTGAACAAAGTTCAAACTCAGATGGTGAAATTTCAAACCTATTTTGAGTGGTTCAAATATCAAGAATTTCTACCACAGCATGCCAAACAAACGTTCCTCCAACACTTGCTTGAAGAATTCCAGTGAAAGAGACGCATCCCATCAATCAACAAGCATTAATTAATTGCTTACTATGTTCCAGGTACTATATGAAGTACATAAGAAAAACATAAAGGATAGCTCTAATTATTAGGAAGTATTTTTCTTATATTGAACCTAAATTTGCCCTTTCTGCATCTTCCACCTATGCCTCCTAGCTGTGTGTGCACTCAAGCACTAAACAGAACAAATCTAATCACTCGAGGCTACCTTTTCAAAGGTCTGCCAAAGGGTCATCTTCTGATAGCCAACTGGGAGCTATCTCTCTAGTTCAAGCAAGGGCTTCACACTCTCTAAAGTGATACTACCTCATTATTTTGTGATTACATCCTCGAGTGTTAACAGCTTAACATCTTGTATGTATATAAATGATAAATAAAACTAAAAGCTAGTTTTCTGAAGAGACAAATAAAATTGACAAACTCTTAGTCAATCTGATTAAAAAGAGGACAGAAAACCCTTTCAACAAATAATAATCAGATCCTATTATACACATTTCTATGCTAAGGAAATTGAGAACACAAAAGAAAATTTGGTACCTATACTATACAAATTATTCTTAAAAATTGAGAAAGTACCTTATCAGAAAACTTATGAGACAAATATAGTCCTAATATCTAAACCAGAGAAAGAAATAGAGGAATACCTTAAAATTTTTAAATAGGGAAACTGACAGCAGACCAAATAGAAATCATAAATAAAAGAACTACCAAAGAAAAAAGCTCCTGGTCTTGATGGATTCACAGGAGAATTCTATCAAACTTGTAAAGAAAATTGGTACCTATACTATACAAATTATTCTTAAAATTGAGAAAATGCCTTATCAGAAAACTTGAGACAAATATAGTCCTAATATCTAAACCAGAGGAAGATAAAACATAGAAGAAAAACTATAGACCAATATAATTAACAAATATTGACTCAAAAAATTTTTGACTCAAAAATTTTAAACAAAAACTTGCTGGACTACATCAATTTATCAAGAAATCATTCATTATGACCAAGTGAGACTTATACCAGGGATACAAGGATGGTTCAATCATGGATGAAAAACAATCAACATAATCACATTGAAAACAAAAACATCCAAAACCACATGATCATCTCAACAGATGCAGAAAAAACTTTGACGATGTATAACACCCATTTATGCTAAAAACCCTATGAGGTTTAGACGTAGAGAGATCTTTTTTAATGTCATAAAAAGCATCTACCAAACTATGCCCAAAGAGCTATAAAATTGTGCATACCTTTTGATCAAGAAATATTACTATTAGGTCTATATCCCAAAGAGATTTTTTTTGAAAAGGATAAGTACCTATAGATACAAAAATATTTATAGCAGCTCTTTTTGTGTTGGCAAAGAATTGGATTGAGAGGATGCCCACCAATTGGGGAATGGCTAAACAACTTGTGGTATATGATTCTGGTGAAACATTATTGTGCTATAGGAAATTATGAGCAAAATGCTCTCAGAAAAACCTGGAAAGACTTATATGAACCGTTGCAAAATGAAGTGAGCAGAACCAGAAAAACATTGTACACAGTAATAGCAATATTGTACAATGATCAACTATGAATAACTTAGCTATTCTCTCCAATACAATGATCCAAGACAATTCCAAAGGACTTATGATGAAAAATGCTATCCACCTCCAGAGAAAGAACTGATGGAGTTTGAATGCAGATCAAAGCATACTTTTTTTAAACTTTCTTTATTCTTCTTGGGTTGGGTTTTTTATGTCCGTATCTTCTTTTGCAACATGGCCTATATGGAAATAGGTTTTGTATGACAGTACATATATAATTTATCTCAAATTGCTTGACCTATCAAGGAGGGGAAAGGTGAGGGAAGAAGATAATTTGGAGCTCAAAATTAAAAAAAAAAACAAATGTTAAAAATTGTTTTTACAGATAATTGGAAAAAACAAAAAAGGAAAAGAAAACAGATCTACCTAAAACTAAAAGCAAGCATCATATGCAATGGGCATGCACTAAAACCATTTCCACAAAAGATTTATATAGATTTAATTACAAAATTCTCTTTAAAGAAATAAATAATTAGAGGGCTCATGGCTGAGTCATACCAATATAAATAAAATAGGAATATTGCCAAAGTTAATTTACACTTTTGATGTTATATCAACCAAATTATCAAAGGGACACTTTATAGAAGTTTATAAAATAATAATAATTAATTTGGAAAAACAAAAAATCTAGACTATCAAGAGAAATTATGAAAAGAAGTAGGGATAAAGGAAAAGAGCACTTCCAGATATTCAACTATATCATAAGCAACAGTCCTCAAAAGCATCTAGTATTGATTAAAAAATAGAGAGGTATGGGCAGCTAAGTGGCACAGTGGAAAGAATACTGGCCCTGGAGTCAGGAGCACCTGAGTTCAAATCCAGCCTCAGACACATAACATTTACTAGCTGTGTGACTCCGGGCAAGTCACTTAACCTCAATTGCCTAAAAAAAAAAAATAGAGAGGTAGCCAAATGGAACAGTCTAGATCAGGGAGAATCAGAAACAATGAAGCTCAAAAACCCAGTTCTCAATAAGGCCAAAACCATAAATTATTTTAAGAAGAAAAAATTATTTATTTGATAAAAACTTCTGAGAAACCTAGAAAGCAGTTTGGCAGAGATTAGGCTTAGACCAACAGCTTACACTATATTGTACAATATACTCTAAATAAATATATGATCTTAACGCTAAATATCATACTATTAAAAAAAATTGGAAGAGAAACAGATCATGCACCACTCATAGGTATAGGTAGGAGATATATTCTTAACCAAACAAGGGATGAAGGCAATTTCAAAAACTAAAATAGATAACTTTGATTACATGAAACTGAAAATCTGCACAAACAAAGTTAATGCACTTAGGCTAAGAAGGGAAGCTGTCGAATGGGAAAAAAGTTTGCATCAAATTTTGATACAAAATTTTAATGGAAAATTTGTATCAAATTTTGATAAGGGTTTGATATCCAAGAAAGATGAATAACTAACAGATGTACATAAGACAAATAGCCATTTCCCAATAGATAAGTGGTCAAAGAATATGAACAAACAATTCTCAAAAAAAAAAAATTAAAAAGTACTAACAGCCACATGAAAGAATGCTCTAAATAATTAATAAGAGAAATGCAAATCAAAACAACTCTGAGGTTTTGCTTCAGATCCTCCAAGTTGGCAAAGATGACAAAAATGGCAATAGTCATCATTGGAGGGGTTGTGGGAAGATAGGCAAATCAGTGCATTATTGGTGGAGCTGAAAATTGGTAAAACCAATTTGGAAATCAATATGGAATTAGCAAATGAAGTGACTAAAATGTTATACCCTTTGACTCACCAGTTTCACTACTGGGCTTATGCCACAAGGAAGCATTTAATAAAAAGAAATCCTCATATGCACTGAAATATTTATAGCATCTCTTTTGTGATGACAAAAAAAATTGATGCATCTTGACTGGGGAATGACTAAATAAATTTTGAAACATGAATGAATGTAATGGAATTTGTGTTATAAGAAATGATGAACGTTATATAGAGTTATAGAAAGATCTACATGAACTGATGCAGAATAAAGTAAGCAGAGTCAAGAAAACAATATACACAATAACTACAATAATGTAAATGGAAAGAACAACCACCTACACACCAAAAAAATCAGAAGTAAACATTGCAAAATTATAAAGAACAAGCATAGTGAAGAGATATGAAAGGATACTCCCAGCCTCCAGCCCATTCCCTCACAGAGGTGAGAGGTCCAAAGGTGTTGAACATTACACATGTTTTTGAACAGAGTCAATATATTGATTGACTGTACCAATTCTATTCTCTTTTTTTCTTCCAAAATACTATTTGTTATATGGGATGGCTTTCTGGGAGGAGGAGGGGGAGGGGGAGAGATACTGAGGCAAAACTATGGTGATGTAAAAACTAAAATACATAAGTAAAAACTTATTTAAAAAAAATAATAATACCTTGTGTGATTAAAGCCCAAGCTTTCTATAACTACTATGGAGGATGGTGAGAAGGAACCATATTTACTCCCCTGCCCCCACCATATTTCATATATGATACATCATCAAATATTTGAAGATAGCTCTATCAGGTTCCCTTTGAATCATTTCCTATCCAGACTAAATGTAATCAATTCTTTCAACCAGTTATCATTTGGCATGGTCTCCAGTCCTTCCCTCCCTCCCTCCCACCCCTATAGTCCAGGTGCCACAGTCCTAATGGCTTTTCATTCCTCATTAAACAATTTCATTTTGTATGCAAATAAATAAATGAATAAAAAGATCATCAATATATTCTAGAAATTGAGGACCCTTCCCTGAAATCCTGAAATCATACCACATAGGTAGTCATCCACAAATTGGGTGTTGCTTATTGTCCTGGCATAGTAAAGAGTGGAGATCACAATCTGGAAGGATTAGCATCCCAGTCACTACTTACCCTCCACTTTCCCACTGCCCTTCTGCCTGCTGTTTTTCAGTGGTGGTACTTCAAGGGACACGATGCCCGACTTTTCCAAGATATTCACTTCTACATGCAACCTCCCTGCAAGCTGCTGGGGCCGGACACTGATCACGTGCTCATACTTTCCCAGCCGTCTCTGCAAAAGCTCTTCATAATGTAGGAAGAAGGCAGCTTTATCCTTGCTGGGAATGATGACAGAGGCACTGAAAGTCTCAGTTCCTTTTTCCCTGTAAAGATAGGACAAAGCCACCATAATACCCACTTCACAGCACTCAGTCATCTCCAGTTGTTTCCCTAGTTTCCCTCATCACACTCCCACTCTTTCTTAACTAGCCTTCCTATGAGAGCAGTAAGTGGGATAAGAGGGAAGATAAGAAACCTGAAGAAGAGAAGTGATAAAGAAGGAAAGTCTTAGACAAATAACAAATGATGGCCAAGGGTAAGGGGGACCAGACCTGTGATTTCATGCAGATGGACAAAGAGTTCTCTCTTCTCTGCAACCTATAGTTTTAGAGCCTTACCTAGAGTACTAAAAGGTGAAGGGACTTGCCTGGGGATAACACAAACCTGTATGTGTAAGAGACAAGACTCGAGCTCAGGTCTTCCTGGCCCCAAAGCCAGATTCTTATCTACTCCATAGAAAGGCCTTTTGCCAAATCATGCTACTATATGAATGACAGAGAATACAAAAGCCAACATTATTCTCTTATTTGTATCATCCCACAACTGCAGGAGAGACAAAGGGGACAACCAGTGAAAAGGAATTTTAAACAGTTGGAAGACAGGTAGAAAGACCTGGAATTGAGATACGAGTTTCATTCTTTACTCAGCTAGGAATTCTAAATGGCTTTTGATGCCTTACACAACTTTAAAACTGATACAGTATTGGCTCTCCACTTTTGGTAAGGGATAATGGATGGATGAAGCTGTTAAACCGATAAACTCAAGACACTTTGGCAGGAAACAGGACTGAGAAAGAGAGGGAAACTGAATATGGGAGGTGATATGGGATGTTGCAAAAATGCTGTTCCATTCAAGGTTTCCCAAATGTAAAACTAACCCCTTCATTGAATGATACTTACCCATTATCTTCCAAGGTCTTATTGTCTTGCTTTTTTGCCCTATCACCATGTATCTTTTCTTTTTCTGCAACTTCCCCCTGATAAACCTTGTCTCCCACAGCCCTAAAACAGAAGGGAAAGCTATGTTACAAACCTGGAGTTAATAGGCAATTTGAGATAGGGTGCCTGCAACCATAGCAACCTTAGAAAGATATTTTTATTTCTCTTTTCAATGTACAGAAAGAAAAAGTTCCAGAATTCTACCCCCAGATTGCTCATTTTTCTCCTGGGCGATTTTCAACAGGTCTGAATGGCAAGACTCAACCCATAAAGTCTAAGTAATGTTGCAGGAGTAAATCATGCCATCGGCCTCAAATTGGATGTGTACACAAAACAGGATAGGACCAGAACAACCCACAAAAAAATAGGCACCATTTTGGACCGTTGCCCAGACCTAAAATTAAACCCCAAACACCACCCTGTTTTTTCAACCTTTTGGGTTCAGCTTAGAGCCAAAAACAGGTCTGCTCCTCTATGTAGTTTAATACAGTTTTCAAATCTCTTAGACTACCATAAATATACACATGCCTATAATATAAATTATTATATATAGTATATATGCATAAATGTGTGTATTTGTGTATATGCAGTATGTATACATATATACACAAACACACACAATTCCCACTCTAATATTCTCAACCCAATTCTCAGCACTGCCATTGGTTTTTGCCATTGTCCAAATATTCATTTTAGGCCAGCCTCTAACATCCTATAATATGGGGTTCATGTTAAGCTGTCGATATTTGTACCACCTACATAGTGAAGTTGGTAATGAAGGCTGCAGCTGGGATCTGCATCTGAAACTCAACTTCCTTGTCCTCTGATGCCCGATTCAGCAAGCTACAGGAAACCATGGTGAAGGCATAACGAGAGATAATGGTAGATTTCACCGAAAAGTGCGTCATCAAGGGCTTGGTTTTCTATGGGAATTAAAACAACCACTGATTATTCTCTATACTTGGTTGGTCCATGATTCAAAGAAGAGTTTTTTTTCATTAGGGAAGTCTTTGGGTAGTTGGGAAGCCTTTTCTTCTTTTTTCTCCTTACCCATCCCTCTTCTCTAGCTCTAAATCACATGATTCCCATCCATTTTTTCCCCAGAAAGTAAAAAAACCTTGCCTTCTTCACAACAACCCTGTGAGATAGATAGTGCCAGAAAATCATCCCCATTTAACAAATGAGGAAGTTGAGGCTCAGAGAGTTGGAATGACTGGCCCTTGATCACACAGCTAGTCAGTATCAGAGTTGCAATTCAAACCCAGTCTTTCTGATTCCAAGTACAAAGTGATTTCTACTGTATCAATGTTGTTTTAACCTTATAATGCAATCCAAACTTCCTGTTAAAGCTATGAATAATCAAAGACCACTGAATTGGTCACACATTTCAATAAAGGACTCAATTAAAAGAATACTTGATACTTTCATCGTTGGTTCACTAACTGTTCACTGAGGCCTTATGTGAGGGGTTTACCTCTAAAACTCAGATGTTTTCTCCTATTCAGCAGTCAGGGCACTAACTCACAAAAGTCCTCTGAGAATTAAGCAATAAAATACTAGAAATACTAAAATTCTATAATGTCCCCCCCCAAAAAAATAAAAGATTTGAGGAAGTAAAATTTCTGAGTGAATGAATGAAGTATGTTTTATGTACTTACTATTCACAAAGTCCTGTTCTGAGAGCTGGAGATACAAATTTAAAAAATTATGGAACAATTCCACCTAAATTAATTTACTTATTCAGTGCCATACCAATCAAACTACCAAAAATTATTTTATAGAGCTAGAAAAAATCATAACAAAATTCATCTGGAAGAACAAAAGGTCCAGAATGTCAAGGGAATTAATGAAAAGAAATGCGAGGGAAGGTGGCCTAGCCATACCAGATCTTAAATTGTATTATAAAGCAGTAATCATAAAAACTACTTGGTAGTGGCTAAGAAATTGAGTGATGGATCAGTGGAATAGGTTATATACACAAGACACAATACTCAATGACTATACTAATCTACCATTTGATAAACCCAAAAACTCCAGCTTCTGGAATAAAAACTCACTATTTACCAAAACTGCTGGCAAAACTGGAAAATGGTATGGCAGAAACTGGGCATAGACCAATATCTTACACCATATACTAAGATAAAGTCAAAATGGGTGCACAATTTAGATATAAAGGCTGATACTATAAGCAAACTAAGAAAGCAAGGAATAGTTTACCTGTCTGATTTATGGAGAACAGAAGAATTTATGACCAAACAAGAGACAGAGAACATTATGAAATGCAAAATGGATAATTTTGATTACATTAAATTGAAAAGTTTTTTGACAAACAAAGCCAATGCAACCAAGATTAGAAAGGAAGCAGAAAACCTGGAAACAATTTTTAGGGCCAGTGTCTCTGATAAAGGCCTTATTTCTAAAATATATAGAGAACTGAGTCAAATTTATAAGAAGACAAGTCATTCCCCAATTGATAAATGGTCGAAGGATATGAACAGGCAGTTTTCAGATGAAGAAATTAATGTTATCCATAATCATATAAAAAATGCTCTAAATCACTATTGACTAGAGAAATGCAAATCAAAACAACTCTGAGGTACCACATCACACCTATCAGATTGTCTAACATGACAAAACAGGAAAATGATAAATGTTAGAGAAGATATGGGAAAATTGGAACACTAATGCATTGTTGGTGAAGTTATGAACTCATCGAACCATTCTGGAGAGAATTTGGAACTATGCCCAAAGGGCTATAAAACTGTGCACACTCTTTGACCTAGCAATACTACTTCTAGGTCTGTATCCCGAAGAGTGGGAAAAGGACCCACATGTACAAAAATATTTATAGAAGCTCTTTTTGTGGTGGCAAAGAATTGGACATTGAGGGGATACCCATCAATTGGGGAATGGCTGAACAAGTTATGGTACATGAATGTAATGGAATATTATTGTGCTATAAGAAATGATGAGCAGGCAGACTTCAGAAAAACCTAGAAAGACTTACATGAACTGATGCTGAGTGAAATGAGCAGAACCAGGAGAACATTGTACACAATAATAGCAACACTGTGCAATGACTAACTTTGATAGACTTAGCTCTCCTCAGCAATGCAAGGATCTAAGACAACTCCAAAAGACTCATGATAGAAAATGCTATCCATATCCAGAAAAAAGAACTATGGAGTCTGAATGCAGATCAAAGCATACTATTTGCTCTCTCTTTTTTTGTTTTGTTTTGTTTCTTCTTTCTCGTGGTTCCTACCATTGGTTCTAAATCTTCTTTACAACATGACTAATGTGAAAATAGGTTTAATATGAATGTATACGAAGAGCCTATATCAGATTTTACACCTTCTTGGGGACGGTGGAGGAGAAAATTTAGAACTTGGGGAAGCTAGGTGGACCAGTGGATAGAGCACCAGCCCTGGATTCAGGAGGACCTGAGTTCAAATCCAGCCTCGGACACATAACACTTACTAGCTGTGTGACCCTGGACAAGTCACTTAACCCCAGTGCCTAGCCAAAAACAAAGAAAAGAAAATTTAGAACTCAAAGCTAAAAATTAATTGATTAATTAATTGATTTTTTAACAAAAAGTCATAGATTCCCTGCTCCCAAGGAGTAAGCAACTCTTCCAATGAGTGAGGCAACACATACAGAAAGTTTCAACTAAGTATTAGATGGAAAGGTTCCATGGTTCTTAGGGTGCAGTGGCAAAAGAGATGGTTGATTCCTCTTCTTCAATGCTTATTTTTTAAACTTAATTTCCACTGATACAATCACATGAGCTTCTGGTGCTGAACCATTTGGCAGTGCTGAGGAGCTTGGTACATGAAAAAATAACTCTACAAAAAAAGTTTAAGAACTCAGTCTACAGAAACTTTACAACCTTACCCACAGTAAGGCACTGGTTCATTCATTCAGCACACATTTGTTAAGTGCTTGTACGTAGAACAATGTGCTAAATGCAGGGAAATACAAAGTCTGAATAAATTACAGTCCTTGCCTTCATTGAGCTTATTTGATTCTAATAGACATATGTTACCCACACAGATCACTACATCCTACCATATGACCAAAAGAATGCATTAAAGGGCTATAAAATAAAATGCTAGATGAAGCCTAAGAGGAAAGCAGCCAGAAGAGTCAGGAAAGACTTCATGAAAGATGGGATGTATGAAATGTTGTTTTCATGGCTATATGGAAATCAATAGATAAGGTGAGTGAGAGATATTGTTGCTGGCCTATGAAATAGCCTAAGTAAAGGATGGAGGTGGGAGAGCATGGAGTATGCTTGTGGGAAGAAAGTAAGCACATTTGCTTTGAGCATAAAATGTATGGAGGAGAGTAACATCAGACTAGAAAGTTATGTTGGTACCAGGCTGTGAAGGTCTTCAAATGCCAGGCAAAGGAGTGTCATTTTAGGTCAAGATGGTTTACCAGTTACTCCTGATATTGGGACATTTTTCTGGAGCCTCACCTTTCCCTGCCCCTACCTTCCAGGATGGTTAACACTTTTCTTCCATCTCATATTCCCAAGCATATGTTGAGATGGTAGAGGATGTAGGGAAAATGACACATGGTTTTTTCCTTGAATGAATTACAATCCAATTGGAGAAACTAAACAAACATCCATAAATTAAATGCTATACTGTGTGGTACTTCCTCTAAGTATTATCAGAGTTTAGAGAAAAGGATTCACATCTCAGGAAGGTACTTATAAGCTATCTCATCTACTTCATTTTACATATGAAGACACATATGCAGAGAGGCAAGGAGATTTGTCTAAGTTCACATGGGCATTAGGTAAGCATTAGAATTAGAACCCAGGCCTTCTGACTCCAAATACGGTACTTTTTCCACTACATGATACGGCTTCTCTAGAGATCAGTGAGAACAGCAGTGTGCAAAAAGTAATTTTACAGAAGGAGTAGAACCTGACCGGTCATTGAGATGTGGATAGAATACAGATCAGTTTAGAAAGAAAGGAAAGGCATTATAAAAAAGAGGGAGGGGGACATACAAGCAAAGAATTGGAGGTAGGAATAACCAGCACATAGTCCTATGACAGTGACAGAGAGCCTGACTAGAATGGACACTTATGTTAAGGGACAGGTCAGGTAGGCAAAGAGACATAAGATCACAGAGGTCCTTGAATGTAAGCAAAGACTAGATGAGGTACTGTGCAAGTATATGGGAATGGAGGAAATATAAAACAGTTGCCTCAATCATCTCAAAATGAGTATTCCTTAATGGTACAACACCCTTTCCACACTCTCATTACTTTTTTTTTTAATTTGGAAATAAAAATGGAAAATGAGGGTGGAGGAAGTTCTTCCTGTGACACAATATAATTTTTCCTTCATTATTTCCTACAAAAGCTAAAACAGATTGAAAAGCAGTCTGACCTTGGGAATTCGTGGACCAAAAATCTTGACATGACTCAAGTCAGTTATTAAAATCAAGTAACAAGAAGATGACCTGAATTACCCCTGAGGCATTCCTCTATGCCCAGGTCTAGCTGACTTTTTTTCTCAAATTCGATAGGAATAAGGTAGGACCTTGATTTGTGATTGCATTGATATGGGAAGTTCCCTGGAAGAGGCAGAAAGACTCAGATGGTAATCTCATCTTAGACACAAACTGTGACCCTGGGAAAGTCACTTCATTTCTCTGGGCCTCAGTTGCTTCATCTATAAAATGAAGGGTGGCTCCTTACTGTCTCCAGGATCAAATATCAAATCCTCTGTTTGGAGTTTAAAGCCCTATATAATCTGGCCCCTTCCTGCCTTTCCAGTCTTCTTACTTTGTATTCTCCACAAAGCACTCGGTGTTCCACTGATACTAGCTTCATTGCTGTTCTTCAAACAAGGTACTCCATCTCCAGATGCCAAAAACTGGCTTTCCCCCATGCCTGGAACTCCCTCCCTTGTCATCTCTGGCTCCTGGCTTTCCTGGCTTCCTTGAGATCCTACTTAAAATCCCAACAAGGTTTTCCCCATGCCTTTTAATGCCAGTACATTCCCTCTGTTAATATCTCCAATTTATCCTACCTATATCCTGTATGTACACAAGTGTTCATAGGTTGTTTCCCTCATTAGACTGTGAGATCTTGTGGGTTTTTTTGTTTGCTTTCGTTTTTGTTCTGTCTCCAGTATTTAGCATAGAGCCTGGCATATAGTTGTTTTAAAAAATGTTTGTTGGCTTGTTGTCGAGTTGGGGATGGCAAAGTTCAGGGGGAAGGGAAGAGAATGGACTCACTGAACTCTAAGGTCCCTTCCAGCTCTAAAATCTATGATCTTTCAATTCAGGTCAGTACCTTCTCTGAAGCTTATAGATGCAGATAGCTGCCTAGCCACTGAGTAGTTAACTGACTTGGCTAAGGGTCATACAGTCAGTATGCATCACCCAGGCAAGACCTAAAGCCAGGTCTTCTGGCTCTGAGGCCAACTCTTTATCAACTATGCCATAATACCTCTCAGTGTCAGTCTCAAATAAACATTTTATGGATTTACTCTGATCTAATCTAAAGACACATAGTTGAACATTAGTTGTAAGTGTCTTAAGGTTATAATAATAATGAAACCACAATATTGCTTATTTTACATTAAATATAAACCTAGGAAGACATGCCAGACACATGGAGAGAAAAAACTGAATTTTGTTCATAGTAGTGTCACTAACCCTATTATTCGACTCTAAAGAAATAATTTCATATCTGTTCCCAGTTTCTTTACATGTAAAAGAATATTTGTACACATATGTCTTATGCAGAGAAAAAGGCCTTCATTGCCACGAAGTTAAGAATAGAAACATCGATAATGCTTGATAGATGCAGGTGATGTAGACTAACTATTGCTATAGATATATATTATATATAATATAGGATGTTCCAAAAGCCTCAGTGCAGATGTAAGCTTATTGATCAATTTAGTACATTTTGTATTATAGAACATTATACAAATATTACTAGATTTGAATCTGCACTAAGTCTTTTGGGGCACTCTGTATATGGCAGTGGGCAGCTAAGTGACACAGTGGATAGAATGCCAGGCCTGGACTCAGGAAGACTCATCTTCATAAGTTCAAATCTGGCCTCAGACACTTAGTAGCTGTGTGACTGTAGGCAAATCACTTAACCCTGTTTGCCTCAGTTTCTTCATCTGTAAAATGAGCTGGAGAAGGAAGTGGCAAACCATTTCAGTATTTCTGCCAAGAAATCCCCAAATGGGACCATAGAGAGTTGAACACAACTGAAAAATGACTGAGCAATAGCAACACAATATATTGCAGCATGTAGTGGTACAAAAGATAGAGAGTTTGCCTTGGAGCCAGGAAAATATGAGTTCAATTCCTGCCTCTGACAGATTCTGACTGTATGACTTGGGTAGTCACTTAATCTCTCACTGCTGTAGGCAAATCTCCAAAACCAAAAGTGACAGAGTAGATACAAACCTACACAGGTGGAGGGAGTTCGTTCCCTAATCTGGGAGTTCCCTATACCAATGAAATCATAGGTCTAGATACATATGTGTATATGTGTGTGTGTGTGTAACATGTACATATATGATCTAAATATGCATATATACATATACTTATGTGTATATATACTTCAAATATACATGTATAGATACATATATGTATATACTCTGAATATATATTTATTTTATATGTATATACACAGATATACTCTACATATTCATTTATTCATATACATACACACATATATGTATGTGTATGTGTGTGTATATACATATGCACATATACACACATGCACACACACAGAGTCATGGCCATCCTAAATATTCTCCTATAGAAGACAATCAACATTGGCTGGAGTTGGGCTAAAAGGGTGGGGAATCTGCTGCCTCAAGGCTCAAGTGCAGCCCTTTGATTGAATCCAAACTTCACAAAACAAATCCCCTTAATAAAAGGATTTGTTCTGTAAGACTTGGACTCAGAGGGCCACACTTGAGGACCTAGAAGGCCACAAGTGGCCTCAAGGCTACAGGTACCCTACTCCTATAACTTGTAACAATCTAACTGAGAAGAAAGGTTAAGAACAAGGAGGTTGCTGACAGAAAGAAAAGGCTCACGTGCAAAAATGTTCATAGCAATACTATTTTGCAATAACAAAACATTGGAAACAAAACGACTGGAGAATTCCCAACGACTGGGGACCGGTTAGCAGATATAAATGTAACGGACTATTACTGCACTATAAGGAATGACAAGTATGAAGAATTCAGAGAAACATGGGAAGATTTGCAAATAAGGCAACGAGAAGAAAGCAGAGCCAAAAGAAGCCAATGTTTAATGATGACTACTGCAATGTAGTGTGTAAAAAAATGTAAAAAAAGGCAATAAAACTCTCATCAAATATAGTAGTCAATTTGAGCTCAGTACTATAAAAAGTTAAAGGGCACCTCTGCCCTTTCTGTTAATAGAGTAGTTGTTTTCTGGAAGTGTATTCTTTGAGAGGAGGGAGGGTGGTGTTTAGGTATTTATTGGGAAATGTCCATTCTGTCAAAATTGCATCACTAAATTTTTTAAAGAATTAAATTTTTAACTTAAATTAATTAAATCATTAATTAATGGTTCCATTAAAATACTTATTAATATCCAACCATCCAAAGATTAATTACCAGATGATGGATGTCTTTAGCCAGTGCAACTTAGGAAGACTATTGGAGAGGGATTTGTTTGCTTGTTGATTTTTTGAGACCAGGTCTCCCTGGTCTGGAAGTGAAGTCATTACTCACAGGCCAAATCTCAATACTTTGGCCTGCTCTGCTTCTCCAACCTGAGCTCATTCACCCCTCCACAGGCAACATGATAGCCCTCCAATCCTAGGGGCTTACCACATTGATGCCATTCTTTGTGTGAATACCCAATCAGCTTTAGCTCCACTGCATCTCAGAATTCCCAAGCTCAAGTGATCCACAGCCTCAGCCTCCTGAGCAGCAGAGGTTATAAGAATATGCCACTACCTCTGGTTTATAAAGACTATTTACTAAAGCTTACAGGGATTGGCAACCATAACAACAGTGGAGGACACTCATATAATAGCAGATACTTGCAGTATGGATACCCAACATTGTGCAGGGCACTATGAAGAACCTAAGAAAAGTTAAGTTCTTGGCCTTTAATAGTAATAGATTAACAGTTTAAGGGAAAGTAGGTTAGCATCAGATGAGCACCAACGATGGCCCCAAAGGATGCAGATGGAACTCCAACTACAAACATCTCTCTCTTCCTGGTGCCAGGCAACTTTGAGTGCTTCGTTCCAACGGATGCCCTAAGAGAATCGTGTCTTCTTTTTTTATTTTCATAAATGCTAATAATAATAATTAATGATAAAAATCTCATAATACAAAGTTAACAATGACAATCATAGGGAAGGAAGTCTTTCCCCAAGGGAAGAAAAGGGACTCATACTGGACATTCCTAGCATTTAGAAAAAAAGGAAAGACCCTAGAGACTGGTGGAGCTTCTCAATGTTTTGAAATGATTTATCACTGAGTACACAGTAGTCAGTAAGAGATGACTCCAAAACAAGTTATTAGAATTGCTGGAGGTTATCCCAAGTTCCCAATCTGTTAACCTCCAAAATACACTCAAATTCTTGCCCAACTTTCATCCCATGAAGCTTTAGCCTACATCTGTGGATGTTCTGTTTGTTTGCTTCACTAAGAAGATTTTGTTGTTTTTAAACTCACGGGGGGCATTGAAGGGACATGTTAAAAGAAAAAAAAAAGTTTCGTGTTTGGTTATATTTTTGCAAGAGGGCCTTTGAAACCCTATGCAGTAGATTATTTTTAAAGTACTTTGTCCTTGCTTTTCTTCTGACGCGATATGTTCCTTTGCCAAAAAAGAAAGCTCACATCTATTTTTTAAAAGTCTTATAAAACAACAACTGCTTTCAAAGCTTAATACTATCAAACTCTGGCATTAATTCATCTGCTTCTTTATAAGTTTTTGGGGAGCTTTAATCAAAGGCAATGGCTAGTTCAAAGGAATTAGTACAAGGAAGGAAATCTGCTTTTCAGATACCAAATGAATATACGTACCAGCCTCTGTTGTAGCCTGACCTGCCTTGGGACTCGATGTCCAACCTGCTAAAAAAAAAAAAAGATTCATGAAATATGATCGTGAAGGACTGATTAGAATCTTTATATTTATGGGTTAGTTTGATCCTTTTCTTAAAAAAAAGTCTTTTAAATTCAGAATTCTTCTTCATATCCCTGGGGTGCTATAGGGGCATCATATTAATAGCCAGAAATTAAATAAGCTGTTATCTAAAGCTGTGACAAAATGCTTAGACCCAGATGAATGCTTAGCTAGTAAGGCAACATGTGAGAGAGAAGATGAAAATTATTTCATTTCTTTGTTGCCTTGAAATTAACACTACTCTGACTGTTAACAGCTGACATTGAAGTAAGACGTCTAAAGTTAATTTGATGGACTGGTGGTCAATATTCAATTTAATTCAAAATATCAGGAAACACCTTCACTGGAGACACAGATAGACTTTTGTGATGATCTTATTGATCTGATATGTTGAATATTCACCCCAAGTGTGTTGGAGGAAGCATGGAATTTTCTTGGGAAAGTCCCTTAAATATTCTGAGCCTCAGTTTTCTCATAGGTACCTAAGTTGCCTATATCACAGGTCAAGTCAACAAGCAATTATTAAGGGCTTCCTATGTGCCAAGCACTGTGCTGAGTGCTGGAATGGAAATAAAAGCAACAAGAAAAATAATCCCTGCCCTCAGGGAGTTCACAATCTAACTACAAACATTTCTTTCTTCCTAGTGCCAGGCAACTTTGAGTCCTTCATTCCGGGGGAGGCCCTGAGAGAATTGAGTCCTCCTTTTTCTTTTCACTAAGTGCTAATAATAGTAATTAATGGTAAAAATCTCATAATGCAATATTAACAATGATGATCATAAGGAAGGGAGTCTCTCCCCAAGGGAAAAAAAGGAGATTCATACTGGACATTCCTAGTATTTAAAAAAAAAAAAGACCCTTAACTATCTTTTTTTTCCTTTTGGCTAGGCAATGGGGTTAAGTGACCTGTCCAGGGTCACACAGCTAGTAAGTGCTATGTGTCTGAGACCGGATTTGAACCCAGGTCCTCCTGAATCCAGGGCCGGTGCTCTATCCATCGCGTCACCTAGCTGCCCCAACACCCCTGATGGACGGGGAAGACAACACTTCAATGAAATTTCAAAAGCAGGTGTATTTTGAGGAATGTGCTTTGTACACCTAAAATCTCGACATAACGGTGAGCTAATACTGATTGTGCAGCAGCCAGATCCTTGAACCTGGAGTCAGGAAGAGTTCCAATTCAGCCTCAGACACATATTAACTGGGTGACCCTGGGCAAGTCACTTAACTTCCGTTTATCTCAGTTCCCTCATCTATAAAATGGAAAGAATAATAGTATCTACCTCTAAGGGTTGTTGTGAGGATAATACAAGATAACACCTGCAAAGTGCTGTAAAAGTCTAAAGCGATATATAAATGCTAGCCACAAGCAACACGATCAGCATCCTATTTCAGTTGCTACTGAATACTGAGAAATCCCTTCAGGGTTAATGCTGGACATACTGGATAAAAGTTGCAGAGAAGCCTGATCCTGACCATTGGAGCTATCCAATGTGGAATAGGCTGCCTTTGGAGGTCCACCTCAGGAGGTCTTCAAGCGATGGTCAGATGACCTTTGGTCTGCTATGTTGTAGAAAAAATTCTTGTTCAAGAATGAGTTGGACAGAGGCAGCTAGGTGGTGCAGTGCATAGAGCTCTGGCCTTTGGAGTCAGGAGGACCTGAGTTCAAATCCACCCTCAGACACTTAACACTTACTAGCTGTGTGACCTGGGACAAGTCACTTAACCTCGATCGCCTCACCAAAAAGCAAAAAACAAAAAAGAATGAGTTGGACTACATAACCTTGGAGACCCCTTCCAGTTCTGAAATTCTGTGGCTCTGTGACTGTCAGCTTGCTGATAAAAGATTTTTGTAATAAAAAATAATAATAATAGCTAACATGTATACAGTGGTTTAGGTTTACCAGCCCGATTGCCCATGTTGTTTTGTTTGATCTTCACGACAATCCCATGAGGAAGGCACTGTTGTTACCCCATCCAATAAACGGGAAAACTGAGGTTTAGAGAGATTAAGTGACTTTCCTAGAATCACACAGCTAGTTAAGTGTCTAAGACAATTCAAACTCGGGTCTCCCTGACTCCAAGTCCCGCACTTTTTGCCAACTATAGGTCAACATTTATATAGTGATTAGAGAGTGCTATGTAAGTCACTATGGAGCCATCTCAGTATAAGGGAGCCCAAGTCATGATAAAGAGAGGGAAGGGACATAGTATTTAAGTTGAGGTGAGAATTTCAGGGAGCATGGTAATTTCTGACCCTCGGAATGGGATAGGAACAGTGAAGAATTCTTCAAATACCTGCACAAGGCCAAAGGAATAGCTACTCACCCAGTTCTACTTGAACATCTTGTTTTTTTTTAACTATAAGGTTTTTCTACCTTGAAGTTGTAGAAAGGCCAGGAACCACTTAAAATCACTCCATGGTTCACCAGGAGGGCCCAACCCCCCATGGGAGTCACATGGAGCTTGACTGAGCTAAAATATTTCCTTTGAAGTCTCTCCTTTGTAAAATATATTTTTCTGGTAAACAGACTTTATAGAGAACAAGAAAAGTGGGCTTTTTACTTCTGAGATGACTATCTAGGTTTCTCTGAGGGATCATTATGGCAATACTTCAGTCCAAACTTCAAATGAACAGAATCAAAATTTGCTTAAAAAGGTAAAGTTCTGGTTAACATTTTTTTTGTGGTCTTCATACATAGATTCTTGTTGCCCATTGGAACTAGGTGTGGAAGTGCTAGCAATCTCATTTTTGCTAGTTAATTATTCTATTTCACAAATTTGTCAAGCATTCAGGAAGTGTCTGCTATTTACAAGGCACCGTGATAGGTGCTAAGAATACAAAGGCAAAAACAAAATACATTCCTGGCCTGCAAAGAGCTCTCCTTTTGTGGTTGTTGAGTTGTTTCAGTGTTGTCCAACTCTTTGTGACCCCATTTGGGGTTTTCCTGACAAAGATACTGGAGTGGTTTCCCATTTCCTTCTGCAGCTCATTTTACAGATGAGGAAACTGAGACAAACAAGGTAAAGTGACTTGCCCAGGGTCACACAGCTAGTAAGTGTGTGAGGCCAGATGAGTCTTCCTGATTCCAGGCCCAGCCCTCTATCCACTGTACCACCTCACTGCCCTAAACTCTCCTTCTATTGAAGACTAAAATGTATGCACAGAAAAAAATGAATGCAAAACAATCCAAGATGGAGAAAGCCCCATAGAAGGTGGCCCTTGAACTGGCCCTTAGGAAAGGGAAAGAGTCTAAGAACTAGAGATGAGAAGTCAGGGCAATGCAAAGATCCAGAGGTATGATATGGGACGTCAAGCTCCTCCAATAAATCTCTACTTTAGTGTATCATTGCATTATGGAGGTAATTTTGGATTTTCCAAAGCTCTGTCAGTGCAGCACAGGCTCTGACAGTTCCTAACAAGCCAGCTGGGCATCTAGGATGGGGCTGGGGATGGGCATCTATGATACACAGTCCATCTGTTATCTAAAGACCAGCCAAACTAGGTTTGGGAGGCTCATCACCAAGCTGATGGTAATCACGTCCTTTCCACTGGATTGGCAGAAGGGAAGGTGTACCCACACCAACAAAATGACAGATCTTAGAAGATGCGTCCCTGGATCCCTTCATGAGTACTTTCCCACTGCTTGTGTTCATTAGTCATCCCAACAAGCTGACAGGGACTAAGTTTAGTCCAGACAAGAAAATGAGGCATGACATGATTTGGCAATTTGAACCTTAATGGAAAAGATAAGAATAGGGACTTGACCAGTGATTTCATTGATACAGAGATCTCCCTCATTAGGAAACTCCCTCTAACAATACAGGTGGTCAATGCCTCTGCAATTTATAGTCCAGAGAGTTGCCTAGAGCACTGAAAAGTTAAGGGACTGCCTCAGGATCACATAGCCCAATTATGTGTCAGAGGCAGGATTTGAATACAGGTCTTACTGTCTCTAAGACAAGCATTCTACAGTTTTATACTTTTAGAGTACAGTGGAAAAAAGAACATTGTATTTGATTAGATGAATAGGATTAATAAAGCAATATGGACAAATCACCCTGACAGGACCTGGAAATGAATCCATAATAGCTGTGAATGTGTCTTAAGATGGCGGATCAGCAAAGGAAAGGTTCCTTTACAAGGCCATAAACGATGTGTTAAATGACAACAAAGTACAGAGGAAGAGGAAAGAAAGCTCACTGGGGACAAGATCAGCTTGGCTTAAAGGAGACATCCTCAGCCCTCCCCCCCACCCACCCACAACTGTCCCTCCCTCAGCCCATACATTCCTTCACTTGTCAAGTCTTCTCAACTCGACCTCCACATTTTTCAAATTCATTCCCTTTGCCTCACTCATACAGACACCACCCAAGGTCAGGCCATCATCATCTTTTTCCTATACTATTGTAATAGCCTCCTAATTGGTCTCCCTGCCTCCAGTTCACACACACACACACACACACATTCTCCACATAGCTGCCACAGTGGTATTCTTAATTTTCCTAAATATTCTTAAGTGTCCATGTCACTCTCCTGTTCAATAAACTTCATTGGCTCCCTATCACCTCTAATATCAAATGCAAACCCCTCTGGCAAATATAGGAGGAAGAGAGGGAGGAAGTGTCAGATCTTATATTCTTGGGCTCAAAGACCATTGCAGACATTGACTGCAGCCATGAAATTAATGGGGCGGCTAGGTGGCACAGTGGGTAGAGTACTGGCCCTGGAGTCAGGAGGATCTGAGTTCAAATCCAGCCTCAGACACATAACACTCACTTAGCTGTGTGACTCTGGGCAAGTCACTTAACCCCAATTGCCTCACTAAAAAAAAAAAATTAAAAGACATTTGGTACTTGGAAGGAAAGTTATGGCAAATCTGCACAGCATACTAAAAAGTAGAGATGTCACCTTGTTGACAAAAGTCTATACAGTCAAAGTTATGGT